CCTGATATTGCTTTATATTTTCTTTAGCATTATCACTCTCTAGCATACTACGTATTTTATCTACTTAACTTGTGTCGTATCTCTTTTCCCCACTAAAATGAATAAGGACTCCTTTGGTTGCAAGTGAGAAACCTCATGTGTACCAGCTTATGCCAAGGGGCATGTTTTAACAGGTGCTCTGGGAGCTCCCACCTTGTAAGGGCTGAGACCTGAGTCTCAGGAGCCAGCCAAGATGCTTTAAGGGTACTTTTGCCAGGTAAAATTCAGGGCATGAAGTTAAATAAGAATTCCAGATAAACAATGAATGATGTTTTAGTATAGCAGACATACTCTGTTTCTCCTTTCTGTCTGTCTTGCTCTCTTTCTGCACATCTGCCTCATTTTCCTCTTTCCCTACAGGGTGATTTTCTCAGTGTCTCAGTCTACATGGAGGGAAATGTTTGTGACCAGCAGTCCCAGTATTGTCACAGCTCCTCAGTCATAAAGGGGCAGGCAGATTGTCTGCCCTGTGTAGGTGAAAGCTTCCTGCCCACACAACTCAGGCAGTGAGTCACGTTGAAAAGTTACAGCTGACTCCACTGTGGCCAGGTGGACTGAGGCAAGCTGGGTAAAAGGAGCTGGCTTTCAAAAAGTAGCAATGCTTCTTGAGAGGCCAAATGAGAGCCAAGAATTTTTAATATAAAATTGTGCAAAGGGAATCTTGTTTTCCTAGCTACAAAAATTGCATTACTATACTAAAATAATCAATACAGGATGGTTTAAGTGCAACAATGACAAATATATAAGTGGACGAGAATAGAGTTCCAAGAGAGATTCATGGGCATATTGCAATTTGGTCTCTAACAAAAGTGACATTTCAAATCACTGGGGGAAGGATGAACTTGAGAGACCAACCGAAATGAGTCCTGAGAACCGGCTCTGGATGTGGTGACCCTGGGGGGAGCACATTTAACAATAAGTTAGCCTGGGAAGTTGGATTGGCAAGCCTCAGGGAGGGTGGTGTCAGGGGTGCTGATGGTAAGTGGGTCAGTTCCTTTTAGCTGTTGGATGAGTGGGGAAGAGAGGCTCACTGCTGGGGAGCAGTGTGGGATCAAGTCAGGGTTTATTGTTGTTGTTTTTAAAGAAAAGACATGTAAATGCTGATGAAAAGACTCTAGTGAACAGGGAAAGTTTATAATTATATGAGAGAAAGAGCATAACTATCATGAGAAGCTCCCAAGAGTGTGGGCACGGCTGGGATGCAGAACCCCTGGTGAGGACATGTTTGCTGGGAGGGAGCCCGTCCCTCCCCACTGCAGCTGGACTGCAGGAGAAGCGCACTGCAGACAGGCTGGCAGAGCTGGGAGAAGCCACGTGCTGACTTCTGTGTTTTCTCTGTGAAGCAGGAGCATAAGTCAGAGCTTGTGAGTGTTGGGGAGGAGGATGTGAGAGGCAGAGGTTTGTAGAAAGTGAGAAAACATTTTGAAGTCATTGCTCTACAGAGTGGGGAGGTGGCTGTCTAAAGCAGTGGTTCCCACACTTGAGCACGAATCAGTCTCTTGGAGGGCTCATTAAAGCACAGATTGCTGGGCCCCACCTCCAGAGTTTCTGATCCAGCAGGTCTGGGGTGGGGCCTGAGAATTTGCATTTCTAACAAGGTCCCTGGGGATGCTGATGCTGCTGGTCTCTAGCCTACAACTCTGAGAACCACTGGCCTAGAGTAGAGAAAGGAAGGCGGGAACGCCCAGGTGAAGTTAATGATCAGGAAGCTCTCTTTCTGCCTACCGTGCCCTGAGGTGCACACACAACTAGGTAGGACACATGATCCTGCTCATTCAGGACTGGGATTCTATGAAGGGGGCATGAGGGAAAGAAACAGGGCGATGGAGCTTAGGAAGCTTGAATAGGAGTAATAGATCCTAGCTAGGTATAGAGGGACCGGAGACAGAAAGACAGCTGGAGAGGTGCTCCTGACAATCAATAGCCATTGCCACTGACTGAAAGACATAAAACTGATTTCTAATGTGCTCAATATTTCTCTTAATGAATGCACCCTGAACACAGAGAAGCACTTTTCATGGGGTTAAGGGTAAATGAATGTTTAGTGATGCACACTCACTTTTATTAATGCTGAGGAGATGGATGAGTGTAAAAAAACTCCTTCAAAATCACACCTTCCATGCTGATTTTAATCTCTGAGGTTGGGAGTTTTGATCCAAACAGAGAATCATCCCTTGGGTATCCCTGTTAATAGGAGAACACAAGCACTTTCTCTGGAGAAATTGATCAGTATTTAAAATAATGATCCAAACAAAGGTTATTCATAATAGAAACTAAATAGGAAGTTTTCTTTTTCTATTATGTTTTCCCCTCTAATTCCTAGGGATAGCCAGGCATTACAGTTGCTTGGGTGGAAGTGTTCAGAGTTTGCAGAGGGGGATGAGCCTCTGGGTGACTCCATCTCAGTGTCTCTCCCTCCCACTCCTGTTTGTCCCCCTCACTGAAGTGACCCTCACTGTGCAGGTGTCTGGTTGAGAAGGGAGATGTGGCCTTTGTGAAGCACTCCACGGTCCTGCAGAACACTGATGGTATGTGCCCATGCTGTCCTTTCCTGCCTTGGAAAAATCTGAGTCTCTCATGTAAAGTCATCCCCTCACTGGGCAACTGAGGAAGGTTATTAGCCCTCTCTGCAGTGACATAGGTCCTAATGTTTTTCATTTAGGGAATGAGAAAATTCTTCATATCTGGTTAGACTTATGGGGTTGGTTATAACACTGGCCTTGAACCTAACTGACAAACATACAGAGGCCACAGTCGTATGAGCATGTCTGATTCTCTGGACTTACAGGCTTCTGTATAGATTCTGGGCACATGTTTTTGTCAGTGCTCTGTGCTGAAAAATATCTTAATCTTCTCTGTGGCTTGCATTTTTGCTTACTTTACTTTCTTTCATGAACAGATGTTCTTAATTTTAATATTGTTCAATTTATCAATATTTTCCTTTCTGGCTAGTACTTTTTTTTTTTAAGTTGCTAGCAGGAAACAGGGATCAAACCCTGGACCTTGGTGTTAACACCATGCTCTAACCAACTGAGCTAGCCAGCCAGCCCCTATGGCTAGCGTTTTTTAAGGCCTGTTTAAGAAATCTTTGCCTTTAGCAGTAATGAAAAAGCACAAACCAGAAAGGTTATAAATTTATGAGTGCATGAATTTTCTCTTCTGTTTCATTTAAAAAGCTTTATTGCTTTGTTTCTCTACATCTCTGTGACTCTCCCTGGCACTGTGTTTGGTCTCATCCCCCCAGTGAGGGCACCTTGACCAAAGTCATCAGCTGTGGCTGATTCACCTTCTTTCTCTTCCCAGGTAAGAACCCTGAAGTGTGGGCTAAGGATCTGAAGCAGGAAGACTTTGAGTTGCTGTGCCTCGATGGTTCCAGGAAGCCTGTGACAGAGGCTCAGAGCTGCCACCTAGCTGTAGTGCCAAATCATGCCGTGGTCTCGAGGAAAGACAAGGCCGATTTTGTTCGCAGAATACTCTTCAGCCAACAGGTATGGGCACCCAGGGCTTCCTTTTCCCCACTCCCCCACACCCTGCAACTGAGTGCTCTGTTGGCCTGCAGAGCTTCACAGACACACCCCAGCCCCGCCTCAGGTGCTTTCTCTCTGGGCAGTGAAGCCTGATTCTCCCAGGCCTGACTCTGATTGCAGCAGAGAGGTGGCTGTGTTTCCTTCTTGCTCTGCAGCTGTCTAGGATATCCAAGTGAATTGGAAAAACCTCAGGCATGTGTGCACCCAAAATGTCTTCCTGAGACCCACTCGACTCTGAGCAGATTCTTGGTCCCTCTTGGGCATGGTCAATGACTCCATGACAGTTAACCCTTTCTCTCTTCTTCTGACACAGACGTAAGGGTATTGGCTCAGTGCCTTGCACAGTAGGCTGAGCTATATTTGTGAAAAGCAGAGTGGTGGTTGCTCTCCCTGACCCATGGGTGGATCCAAATGTGTTTCCTCAACCTGGGCAGACTGAGCACTGTCTTAGGCTTTGTGAAAGTTAAGGAGCAAACAGACAACTTACGATCTCCACAGGCAGCCAACAAAAACTGATCTTACGTAGTAACAAGCTGCCTAAATCAAGTGATTCTAAAGAAAACCCAAAGCCTCCTCTGCCTTTTTCACTAGCATACCCCCTTTTTGGAGGTTCCCCAAATGAGAAATCCATGTCTCAGCATATGCCACCCACACATCCCAGTTAAAGGATGACAACCAAGGGAAGGCAGGCAAAATCTGAGGCTCTCGGTTGTGGACTTTTAAAGGGGCAAGTCCCACGTGGGTCAAGCTGCCATCCTGGCCACAAGGGAAGTGGACAAAGAAAGAGAGGAGAGGGAAAAGAAGAGATGCAGATGGTTGGACACCTGGAGCAGATCCAGAGAATGGAAGAGGCAAGGTAGCAATGGCTGCCGGCAGCAGAAAGCCATGCAAGTATAACCCAGAAAGTTGAAAACATTTGGTAGTGGTTGGCGAAATAGCAACAGAGCAGCAAAGAGAGCTTTTCATATTTACTACTTGTTTTATGTACATTGTCTCACTATTTGGTGGTGTTATCTCCATTTACAGATGAGTAAACTGAAGTTCACTAAGCTCAGTAGAGAATTTTCCTAAAGTCACACAACAAGGAAAAGACAGGGTCTGGATTTGAACCCAGAAACCATGCTTTTTGCCATTTTACTACAGTGCCTCCTACACTGCTGCTGTGTCCCAGGTTTCCCAGAGCAGGAGCTGAGCTCAGGTCTTCTAGAGAAGAATATACAACCCCATGCTTCCTGGAGCCCATGGTCACTCACTGTCTGTCTGTCTGTCTGATCCAGGAGCTCTTTGGAAGAAATGGGTTTGAATATGCGATGTTCTAGTTGTTTGACTCCTCAGCCAAGGACCTGCTGTTCAGTGATGACACGGAATGTTTGGCTAACCTTCAGAACAAAACAACTTATGAAAAGTACTTAGGGCCAAAGTATCTGATGGCTATTGCTAACTTAAGACAATGCTTAACCTCTGGTA